CCAAGCACTGTGTAAAACAAAAAGGGGTCTTTTTTAAGACTTTTGGAAGTGGCCCCCCAGACCAGCGTCCAAGTGTGACTTTGGCGAGAAGGAATTACGCTGCAGATATTTGGTTGTAAATAAACTCGGCGGCGTCATCAGACCCAAAAAAACAAAAACAAAAAAACAACCCTTGCTGGATCTGGTTTTTCTTTTAAGTCCCATGGAACAAAGAGCACCCGAGTCCAAACGAAACTAGACATTCAACGCCTTGCTGCAACGCTCCTGGCCGGTGAGTTGAATTTACAACACGTGGAGGAGGGTGGGGTATTTAATTCATACCCCAGCATGGTGTGGCGGCAGGGCGCGCAGCGGAGGGTGGCGCGCTAAAAAGCAGCTAAAGCGGCACCGTTTGTATTCCACGACGCTCGCGCCACGCATAATTCGGGTGAAATTAAAGCTGGCAGGAGATGTTTGCGGCACGGCGGCGGATTTCTTTGCGGTGGGCCGCGGGGCCCGGCCGTGCGGGTGCGGCCCGCTGCTGCTGGGCACCCGTCCCTTGCGCGGGGGGCGACACTGCCGCCGCGTGCCTGCCTCTGTGCCCGGGCACCCCCCGGCCTCCAGCGCGTCTTTAATCAGTCAAAAGGAGTTAGACGGACCTCCGACGTGGAAAATTGGTCGGAGCGCAGCGGATGGCGGGGCGGGGCTTCACCGAGGCCGAGCCGGGCTCAGAGATAACAACTGGCCGGATTGACGACAGAGAAGCAGCAGCGGGTGGGGATCGAGCAGGGCTGCCGCGCCAGCCGGCTGAGGGTAAGGGAGGCTTGCTGGAGCCGAGTGAGTACGCTCACGCGGGTAGTGCCACAGAGCAGCGGGCCGGGATTGACGGATAGAGGCCGCCGAGCAGGCCGGCGCTGCGCCACTGATGGGGGAGGCTCCGCGGGCTGCTGCAGGCGCGGGGCCTTATTCACGCGACAACGTGACAAAGCCGGTGCAAAAACGACGTGCAGTGAGTGTCCCCATCCAACGGGGTTTTCTTTTTGTTCAGGCCTTGAGACCCCGCTTGAAACTTGTAGTCCCCAGACAAAAATAACAATTGAGCGCACCAAACGCTTTGCTGCAGGAACAAGAAATGTTTAGGGGGGCCAAAAACTTGTAATGCTGTAATTTCCCAGATTTAAATGTCGAGAAATAATCATTAACAACCTCTAATGTCAAAAGGGAAAGAACATTCTCAATGCGATGTAAAAGAACTTGAGCATTAATTTTTGGTCGTTTATGCTTTTTTTAAAGGGAGAGAAAGAAAAATTCTTGGTCACTGCCGACGCCGGAGGGATTGAAGCCGCAAGTACGGGCGAAGAAAATGTCCCACGAGCGGAGCGGCAGCACTGGCCATGCTGGTCGCGTCCGGCCTCCCCATAAAGTGTGGCATTTAGGACCTTGCGACACCAGACAGCCCGCTGCAGGGTGGAAAGGGGGGGGGGGGG